TTTTTTTTTTTTTTGCTATTTATTTAAATCGATCAACCTCCCACAAACTGAGGAATGAATTCCATAAGCCTATTTTGAAATGTGGACCTAAGACAAACACTTGCTCATCCTTTAACGGAGTTCACCAGCACACTTGTTCACCAGTCCCGTTTGCTTCCGTCTTTTTTGTGTGTGATAAAGCCAGCTGACCAAGTGACCACAAAGGGGGGCTGTCTGGGGCTCCTGTTTTTTAGCTGCTGTTCCTCGTCAGCTCCGACCATGTTGCTGTGTGATTATCTCAATTGGTTTTAATTGAGGCAGAAATTGAAGCTCTACCAATGAACTGTTTAAAAACAAGACACACTTTTGTATTAAAATTGCTTGCAGTAACAAATGTTTTGTAATTCCTGGCTTTATTCTGAACCACTACTTTATATTTAAATGTTACCCCAAAGGCATAAAAATGTTGTAGTACTTAAATACATCATTCAACAAGAGTTTTCTTGATGGAAAAATTATAGAACTCATTACTTTTTTTTCACCCTTGTTAATTTTAACGAGGCTCCAAAGAAGCGGGATATTTTCACACAGATGTGTAGGGATACTGTCCACCTATGTGATTCAATAGATAGTACGTGAGAAGTTTACCTTGGGGTGGGCAAACGTCCCACAGTATGATGAAATTTCTGTTACTTGGTTGAACTTCACAAGCCAGAGTAGTTCTGTTAACTTTGAGACCACTGTATAGGATGGAAGCAAATAGACATGCAAGCCTTGTGGTACAGAAAGACACCTATTTGGCTGAACTAGCTGATCAGATGGCACCGTAAAGAGCTAATTTCAGGATGGTTTAAATGGGAGATGGGTGACCATAGACGGCCCCACCCCCCTCACAGTGGCCGGATGATACACATCACCTGGTGCATACCTTGACAGATGTCTTACAGCTGTGTAAACTTCAAGAGCCATTATTTCCTTAACTAGTGTTGAATTTACTGGTCTGCCCACGTGCCCTCCTGTCATAGTCCACAGTGGAAAAGGTGGAGGCCCTCTGGCTAGTGTCCAGACTCATGAAGGAAAACACTACCTAGTTACTGGGGAAGAAGTTGAGTGCACTGGACATCTCTCAATTCTGGAAGGCAGACCATTCTGATTCCTTTGTTTTACAGATGGAGAGGCAGGTGTATTCAGATCACAGTGTGAGGCTACTAGTGAATGTTTCTGGGGTTGAACCTGGGACTTCTGTGCTAGTCTGATGCCTCAACTTCCTCCAGTCCTTAGCTGCCCCTGACGTGACTAGTACAACCAGATACTGACTTGACTAATGAGACCGAAAGAAAGGGCTCAAACTCACATCTGTGATCTTGCTCTTCAGGCCACATGCCCCTCTTAGAACTCTAGAATTTGGCAAGATGTAAATGCTTGTTTGCCAAAGCTCCATAAGGCCACCTGTTCAGATTGAAAGGAATATATAGCCTGGTGTGTTCCACACTTCCTGGGTGACCTTAAAGCTATCAACTTGGGATTGGAGAGTTGGCTCAGCTGTTAAGAGCACTTGCTTCCCTTGGAGAAGACTTGTTCAGTTCCCAGCATCCATACAGTGGCATACAAGTCCACCTGTAAGTCCAGCTCCAGGGAATCTTCTGGCTTCCATGGATACCTGTGCACACATGCATGTACCTACATACTACACATACTCAATTAAAAATCTTTTGGGGCTGGAGAAATGCTAAAAGCATTTGCTGCTCTTCCAAAGAACCTGGGTTTTCTCCCAGCACCCTTAGACTGCCTCTATAGGCATCTGCACTCACATGTATGTACTTACATGTGACAGACACAACCTACTCGTTTTTGAGACAAGGTCTCACTATGTAGCCTTGGCTGTCCTGGAACTCACTAAGTAGACCAGGCTGGCCTTGCACTGCTTCTCCCCCTCAAGTGCTGGGATTAAAGTCATGTGCCACCACAACCAGTTTTATGTACACATAATTTAAATAGATTTGTTTTTATTTCAAATCTTTTCCTTATTTCCATTAAACAGAAAGCTGTGAAAGACATAGGAAAGAGGCAAGTAAAGGGCTTAAAATGCTACAGAGGTTGACAAGGTGGATCAGCCATAAAGGTGCTGGCCACACACACCTGGAGACCTCCCTTTAATCCCAGAACCCACAAAAAGGTTGGGAATGGATTCCACAAAATCATCATCTAACCTGTACATGAGCCTTTCTCTGCCATAATAACAGTTCTGAGACATGTTTAATGGCCAGTGAGATGGTTCAGCAAATAAAGGTGCTTGCCACCAAGGCTAATGACCTGAGCTCAATCCAGAGCCCACATGGTAAGAGAAAACCAACTACTCCCAGAAGTTGTTCTCTGACCTCCACACATGACATGCACATGCGTGTGCATACACATTCGAGATAAATGATACAAATTTAGTGTCTGCTGGGGCTTTAGCTGATACATCAACAGCTAACATTCATGGAATGCTTATTACCAGCATTCCATACATTATGGAGAATTTGCACTCTAGATACATCTCAATACAGGTCCCAATTCTATGATCTAGTCCCCCTAAGGATAAAGTTCAGTAACTTAGCAAAGTGACAGTCAGGAGGTGAGCCAGAAAGCTCATGTTTGGACACTCTTCTTTAAGAAACTTTAGACACCTTAGTCTTTCTGCTGTTTCAGAGTTCCACTCATGGGAACTCACCTTCTCTTCCCAGCACCCCTACTCACCCTTCCAGAAACCACTGGCTCCTCTGGGGGTACAGCTTTCATTCTGCCTTTGAAATGACTAAGTTCCCAGATGGTCAACCCTGTTAGAGCGGGAACTGCTCAAAGGTGGAGTCTTGGTTCAGGGCCCAGTAGTGAGCAGCCCACCATGGCCATTGACAAACTGCATCCTGGGTGGTGGTTCTTGGGTGGCTGGCTAAACCCTGCTTCTGTTTACAAGAATGTGAAGCACTGTGGTAAGTAGGTGGCTAGCTCCTAAACTGAGATGAATGGCCTCCCCACCCCACCCCCCAAAACCAGTCCCATGCTGGTAGCCTAGAATGCAACCTGAGAATTCCAGGTGGGGTGAAAGGTTCCTGGTGGTATGGTGTGGAGTCTGGTGCAAGAGGGTACCCAGGGTCCAGAGGGGATGGGGGTGTGTGTGTGCAGGAGACTCAAGAGCTCCTGAACAAAAATTATATAGAAAACATCTTACTACCTTCCTCAGTCATCAAGCCCATCACGAGAATCATTATCAGTCTCCTCCCCTATCACTATATCTGTCTCCAGCTTCAGCCCCTGACTGGTCTCCCTCCCACCACAGTCCAGCTCTAACCTCAGTGTGGCAGTTTTAAAGGCTCCTTGGCAGCATCGTCCTGAGAAGTCCAGCATTTTTCCCCCTTTTCTTTTCTTTCCATCCTTGTCCTCCTCCTCCTTGCTCTGTTTGTTTTTGTTTGAGACGAGGTCTAACTATGTAGCTATGAAGCCAGCCCTGGCCTTCTGGAACTATGTGAACTATTCTGGCCTTGAATTTGCAGCAATCTTCCTGCTCCTCCAGTCATTCATTGTCTTCATGGGGGCTTTGAAACAGTATGGAGATCGACCTGTTGGATGAAAGACAGACTGTGGATGATTACCTGAAGAATTTAGTTGATGATACTTGAAACTTGAAACAAGGCTATAGGGATGGCTCGTCATTTAAGAGCACTTCACTGCTCTCACAGAGGACCTGGGTTCAGTTCCCAGAGCATCGGGTGGCTCACAACAGGCTAGAACTCCAGTTCCAGGGGATCCACCGCCCTCTTCTGACCTCAGAGAAGACACTTGTACACAGGAAGTGCACACATTTAAGAAAAAGCAAACTTTTGAAAGATCACCTCACCATATTTTGGTGACCATTATACATTTATTTGGATTTTTATTTTGAATCCACACTGGAGAATCCATAACGGGCCCAAATGCAGGGCCCTTTATGGTCTCCCTCCTGGAAGCCCCGCCAGCAGCCACCCTTCACTTCCAGCTCTTCAGTTAACCTCTGTATGCTTCAGTTTTCCCATCTGTTAAAA